AGGAAAAATTTCTTTACTGAAAGAGTGGTTAAACATTGGAACAGGCTGCCCAGGGAAGTGGTTGAGTCCCCATCCCTGGAGGTATTTAAAAGACGAGTAGATTAGGCACTTAGGGACATGGTTTAGTGGGTGGTGGTGTTGGGTTGACGGTTGGACTCGATGATCTTAGAGGTCTTTTCCAACCTCAATGATTCTATGATTCTATGATTCTAATACATAATGGGCCCAAATCTAGTCACCTTTAATACATAGCGGCCCAAACTTTTCAGAAGAGAAGGCAAGGGCAGGGAGAAGGGCAAAATGAGAGGGAGAGGAAAATCCTTCTATTAAATGCTGGATACTTTGATATGGCTTTGCACAATCCTACAGGATCTCTGTTGTCTATTTTCTTGAAATGCTGCTGTCAGCAACCGTCATTAGGCCTACAGGTCCCTATTAGCACAGTTCTGTGCAATCCCACATGGCCTACAGCCAAGTCTGGATGTAAACAATTCCGTAAGCCCACTCAATCAAGTAGAGATTTACCAGAAGGAGCTGGATTGACAAGGTCCCTGCTATCAGCAATCCCAAAGCACTTGTATCTTGATGAGATGACATCCTGTGGTATGTCCTGGAGCTCTTCCCTGATCCATTCTGCCAACACCAGGTTACTCAACAGGGACCTGGGCTGACACCGCTGTGATGGGCTCAGGTCACCTGAAGGTGATGCTGGAGTTCTAAAAGAGAAAAAAACACAGTAAATCCACTTTTGAAGCCCAGTCTGCACACACAGTGAGAGAGCTGGATTTCTTTCAGACCTGTCTTCTAGAGAGGGGGAAGATGGGCCAGGATGGCAACAGACATGGGCAGCCACAGTGGGTTGATATTCCAGGACGGTGTGGGAAAAAAGTGGTACAAGTTAGTCAATGAAAGGCAATATATGAGCAAACTAGAAAGCTATGTAAAAATACATCAGCAGTTAAAAATCAGTATAAAACACCAGCTTAGAGAATGTCCAAGATGTACAACGATAAAAAAACCTCACAGAGTAAGAATATAGAAAGCTGAAGTTAATGTTAAGGTTACAATTAAAAGAAACTCAACCAAAGGAAAAGTAAGTAGTATTCTCATGCATAGTACTTCAGAACAGTGCTGGGTGCATGGAAATAAATAAGCTGAATAACACAATACCTTGTTTACTCATAAAAAGTAGTTTTATCTGGCTAACGACTATAAAAATCCAATATGCTAATATTTATGTATACACTGGCAGCATAGATTCTTGTAGTCTTTACAATAACCTGTATTTCTTAGGAAAAGCTATTGAATTTCCTAGAAAAACAAATGATGAGTCAATGTATAGGCAGACGTTACTTGTAAGCCTCTAGAAGGAAAACAAAAAATCCAAACCATTGATTTTTAAAAAGAATTTGTTTTGGTGCAGAAAGGGAAGAATAGTTAATGTTTACAGTTTAAGTGGCCATCAGAATTACACGTTGTCCTGAAAAATTGCATCAAGCACTTGAATTGCAAACCTTCAGGTATTTGTCTATACTGCACTGTGGTTACCAAAAAAGCTGTATTCTTGCAATAAATTCTTACTTTTGTGTTTCATACACAAACTTAAAAGGTGTTTTGTTTAGATGGACCAGCTTTAATGGGAAAAGATGAGCGAGAGAAGTGTGAGTTTTACAGTTTTGGATTCAATAAGCCTGAAGCACAGAGGGTGCTCTGAATTGCACTCTGAAGGTGCAATTTCAGAAGCATAGGAGAAGTTTAAGCACAAGAAAAAAACTGAAAACTTGTACAGTACCTCTGTGAGCAGAGCTGTGTAATAATAGGTAGGCTTTACTGAATATCAGGACAGCAATAAGCAAAACCAGCCAGCTTTCCAAAGTGTGAAATAAAACTACCATATTAAACAGTTGGTGATCTGTCTGGCTTGACCAATCCCCGAAGTTTATCAACATGCATACACCATGATACCTTTAAAGATAAAAGCTCAGGGCTTAAAAAGAATGGACTTTTTAAAAGATGCTTTTAGGGGGAGGGAAGAGGGATATTACCAAATGATCAGGAGACCCCAAGTTAAGGACCTTTTTAGGTAGGATATTTAAAAAAGAGAAAAATTGTGAGTACTTTTACTAGAATTCAAGCAAGACAACAGAATTTGCTGTGAAAGGGCTCAAAACTCTTCTATTTGAAAAACAAACCATGTGCGCCACCTCCCGGGGAACAAAACACAGAGCACAGTAACCACCCTCCGGGCTCTCCCGAGGTAAGAAACAAACACTCCCAGGGTGGCTGGCTGTCTTAGGGACAGGGACGTTCAATGTGTATTCCTTCTTGTTTTGTAGTTTAGGGCAGTAGACAGCAACAGTCCAAAATGTTACTTGAATCCATTCCAGATGATCAGAAGCTTCATCTTCTCAAGTTAATGTTTTCTGTGCTGGATTTCTGTCCAATACGGAAATGAACTGACGAAAAGTTGAAGCAAGAACGTCTCAGTTATTTGGGTGTAAGCAGGAGAAATCACCTGGGAGCTAAACTTGCCTGCCTCCTCCCTTTCCCTCAAGGTTCAGATGAGATCAAGTGCAGTTCTGCCTTCTTGTCAGAGCTAAAGCCAGAAGTTAGAATTGAAAGTCCCAAAGTACTAGGAAGAATTTGGATGGGTATAATTTATCAGTTTGGAAGTTCATCTTAACAGGATTTAAAAAGACACACTGAATAGGTTGAAATAATTAATCATTTATTTTAAGCAGCAGAAAATTTGATTTTTACATAGCGTTTATCTGAAAATGGCAAGACCTGAAAGTACAAAATATCAATTTTTGGAAAACTCAGTAATGAGGCTTGACAGTAAGTGGGATAGACATCCTAACATCACCTGAAGACTGAATTAAAAAGACTGTATCCCTTTTTTCAAAGTTTTGATCCCATTTTCCTTTCAGTCAATGTTACACCTCATCAAGTAAAAAAAAAAAAAAAATCAGGTGAACGAGTGCCTCTACAAGATGGAATAATTTCCTTAAAGGTGAAATCCTTTCCATGCTTCCTAAAGAACTGTCAAATAACAGTTGATGTAGTGTTAAAGTTTTAAAAGATTTCTGCATCTCCATATAAAATTTTCAATTAAAAAAAAAGTGAACTGCCTGTTTCAGATAAATCTTATTTAAACACTCAACCTTGTATAGTTTATGCACACACAGAGTATTGGCTAGCAAAGCAATTTTCCCCAGGACATACCGCAGTAATCCATGCCTTGGTGCTATCAAGAACTTGTCAGTTGTCTTTTCAGTAGCACTTCAACGTGACTTGCTTAAGTCCATTTTTTCCCCCAGAATTTTCCAAAGGACAGCTATGTTGCAAATACGGCCATTTAAACTTTTAACTACATAATTCCTCTCTAACGACACAGGAATAAACATTCTCTTTGCAGGTTTAACATGGCTCTGTGAAAATTTCCCTCTTCAAAGAGGGATGTGATGAGACGATGGTTACAAACAATGCAGTTTATTCAAGTATTTTGCCTAAGTACACATGGCTGTAAAGCCAGAGCAGGCCGAGTTGCTCAACTGGAAAAAGCAGAAGTGTATCAGTCAGCAAGAAGAGCCAACAGACAGTAAGGGTCCACTACAGTTGGTGGTAGGACAAAAAACGGCCAGGCCTTCAAGGAAGGGGCCATCATCTGCTTAAGGAGTGGCATTAACTCTCACAGCTCCTTGGGGTCTTCCCCTCCACCCCTGTATTTCACAAGGACACAGAAAAAGGAAAATGTACAGGACCACTGAGGAAGACCAAGCAGTTAAGTATTTCCAAGTGGGAAGTGAAAGAGGTCTAGGAAATACAGTCAAATGCACAAAGGAGTTCTTTGCACACAGACAAATTCAGGGACTACTGACACAGATTAAGTTTTGGCTCTAATTTTCCTCCTAACACTAATGCAAGTATTTTCAACCTAGAGTTAATTTCTAAAGCATTACAAACTACTCTAAAACAGGTCTGTGAATGGTCACCAAGAAAAACATATCTTTTGTTAGAAGGCTGAATTTTGGATGTAGAGGTCTTCAGCTTTTAGGAACTTTCTTTGGGGGGGGGGGGGGAATGGG